GTATTTGCCTCATTATTTTTTCCTTAAGTTCAGTTGAAGCTGCCCCAATAACACTATCTTGAGCTTTAATTGTATATCTATTATCAGTAAATGATTCATATACTTGTTCATTATATTTGTCTACTAAAGCATTTTGAATAAACAAGCGTGGAGCTTCTTGAGGACAATTCGATTCCTGAACGCATCTTTCCTTCAGCTTTTGAAGATCAGCAGTTGTATGTTTACCTTCTCGTAACCTGTTTAAAATTTCAGCAAACATCTTACTTTCTCTCTGTCGCATGATCTCATCAAGTTCAAACATTCTAAAATATTTTTTCCATAAATTTGGAGCAAGAACACTATAATAGTTTAAAGACTGGAGATCAGTGAAAATGTAGCCATCCATGACAGGTTTAAGTTGAAATAAGTCACCGATTGTAATGATGCTAACACCACCAAAGTCGTCTTTGCTTCCTTTTAAATCTTTTAAACGGTTATTTAACTGTACTGTAAACATACTGTTTCCAACCATTGATATTTCATCAAGTAATATCAAGTTTAATGCACCCAGCTCACATCGTAAAGTGTTCAACCTACCAGAGTCGAGTGGTTTATAAATTTTAAGCGATTGGCTTGCTGGAATTGATAAGGCACTATGGATTGTGTTTCCTTTAATTAGATAAGCTGCTTTTCCTGTTGGAGCAAGCAATAATACTTGAACGCGACGAAAGTCTTCGCCAGCTCGTTTGTTATAGTGCTTTAAAGCAGCCTGATAAATTGACTTAATTAAGTGAGATTTACCTACCCCTCCACTTCCACTTAAAAAGGCATAAAATGGATTATCAGATATCTTCATTAAATGCAAAGCATGATAAAAAAATTCCCTTTGTTTCTTGTTTAGCATTTGGACCAAACGTCGGTATTCATTATCTTCCATTTCATTTAAAATAAGTGGTTCATTATTAGGTAACCTTGATGGGATACCCAAGTCTTCAGAAACATCATACGTTTCATTTAAATCTGGATGTGTATCTGTATTACCTTCGTTCTCATCCCGACGTTCAGTGTCTTGTGTAACTGGTGCTATTGTGTCATACGCATCATCATCACATTCTTGTAAGTGATGTTGAATTTCGTTTAAATCTTCACTACAAACCGCATATTGTTGCATTTGTTCACTGATTTCATCACGACGAGCTTCGTAATGTGCTTGAAAGGAAGAGTAAGCTCCAATTAAATCGGCCTGTTCATTTCGCCATGGAGTGAAAAGCATGATCAACTCACGATAATGTTTTTCTGGTTGAGATTCTTTGTTAAACCAAACACTGCGGATAATTCTTGCATGTGATCTTTTTTTGACCGACTTTTTGGATGAAACACAACTTTCAGTGTTTTGAACACCTAGGTCATCATCATTATTTTCATCTTCATCTTCCAAAGGAAGGTTGTCAATATCTGATTTTTTAACAGATTTCTTATACTTGTTCAGCCCAGGTGAGTCGTACCATGCTGCCCAGTCAGCTAATGTAATATTTTTTAAACTGTCTGGTCGTTCTACATATCGTTTCAGAAGTCCACCAGAGTGAATTTCTTCAGACTCGTCTGACATCTTCTCAATCTCACTGAGAGGTTTCAACAGTTCAACACGATCATTTGGAAGAGATGTGTTAATGAATACAACATTTCGAGAAGATTTTCTCATGGGAAGTTGCAGAATGATGTACACTGCTTCTTGTGCACTTATTTCAACTGAGTTTAAAAACTTGTTGCCAATGTCACGAACCTGTTGTTTGATGGTGGAATTACCTTCCTTAGCTTCAGCACATGCGTTACGTAACAAGTCACTCATTCCTTTTTGAGCCTTAGAAATATAGGAAACAATATACATTGCACAGGCATATACATCCAGCACAAATTGAATGTCCATGCTCGCTCTCCATGCTTGGAGGCAAGCAGGATTATAATTATTAATCCTTAATTCATTGGGACTTTTAAATCATTTAGTTTATTCTTAATATTTTTCCACAACTCTTTTCTCGTTCTTATGACAGTTTCAGAAGCATTGTCATCAAGTGGATGAAGTATCTGTGTTGATCTCATGGGTGGCTGAGGGTAATTAAATCTACAAACTTTTTTTGAGTTTTTTCGGCATGTGTGAGAATGTCTATGAGTTTGTCTGTTTACAAGATCAAATAATTCAGTGTCATTATCAGGCTTTCTACAAGTTATTATTTGGTCAATGAAATTAACTACATCTTCATCTTTATCAACACCAAATACAGGAGCATTTTCAAGCCATATGAGCATATGGATGTGAGGCGAACCTCTCTGTTGGTATTCAACCCTGTAAAACCAATCTTTTAATTTCCCTAATGGGGCAATTTCACTCATTAAAAAATCTTTTAAGAAAGCATTAAATTGGTAATCAAAATGCCTTGCACAAGTTACTGGGTCACTTTGAATTAGTCTACACTTTTCATCCCAGTTTAAATGATCCAATTCTTCATCACTATAATCTTTGTGATCAACAAGCTTACCAAGGATTCTTAGTAAATGATTCCATTTTGTTTCAGCAGATGAAAAACTACAAAATAATGATGCGGGTCCTAACTGCCGAATCATAGCAAACAAATCTTTTTTGGCTTTTTCAAAGTAAGGTGGGGAACCTCTCAAAGCTCTTAAAAATTTGTATCCTTCATCATGGCAAATGAGATTTGTTAAACCTTCCGGTGTTTTTAACTCACCAGTAGTAAGTGTTCTGTTTCCCATTTTACACTTGCGAATAGCAAGTTGAGATTGCCCTAGCAATAATTTCATCTGCATTTTTTTAGTTTTAAAAAATATGTTCTCAATACACATTGCGGCTCTTCTATCAGACCGTCTTAGTTCAGATTTGCATATTTCACTGTAGTAAACACGAGTCAATCTTTGCTTCTCATCTGGTCGCCTTTGACCTAGGAATATTCCTGGATAAGCTAGTTCCTCTGAATACTGATCTCTAAATATACTAAGTGGTCTACTACCTTCACCAGGTGCAACATTGTATATATGTTGTCTTTCAGTATCATCTACAAAATCAGTAGGTGTAAGCATACTGTCTGTTACACCTGCAGGAATTTCTGCTTCGTCTTCACTCCATTCATCTTCTGATGTTGAATTAGTTTGATCAACTGTAGTATTTTCATTGTCACTATTAGGTATTGTAACATCAAAGTATGATAACCAATGCTGATCAAATGTTATTCCTTGTTCTTGATATAGTTCACTAGTATTTACCAACCAAGCTGCAGCTTGCATCACTTTATTAGGTCTGACATTCAAAGACAAGGCAGAACTCTTATATTGCAGTCGACGTTTCAATTGAACTTTAATAGTCCCAGTATCTTGTGGTAACCTGGGTAGCATGTTAACAGTATTACATATATCTGCTGGAACATTCACAACATTACCAGTAATTTTAAGTTGCCCTCCCCTGGGAGCTTGCATTATTTTTTGGAATGCCAATCTTGGAGCTATAAGTCTGCATTCCAGTTCATTTAAATCAAAGAAATGAGGTTTTTCTGGAAACTTCAAGCCATTTGAAATTGCAGATGGTGGCACTTTATTCTTTTTAAGATGTTTGTCACATGTCAAACACAGCCATTCAATATCATTCACACTTTTAATACCTTGTAGATGTTTAGTAGAATTTGGATTGGACAATCGAAGTCTCTCGGCTGGACAAACACTATGTTTATACCATAATTGATCACAGCACAAACAAATATACAGAGGACCTGTTGATACAGATTTATGGAATTTATGTATCAATTGTGATACACTATTATGTGATACACTGTTATCATTACTGTGATGCTCTTGAGAACCTGATGGTGGACATGATTTGTTTTTTCCAGAACATCTTCTTTTATTTGCTTTATAATTAAGTCGTGCTTTTGCCAATCTTTGTTTTCTTTGTTCGACAGTCTCATTTTGCCTTTTCAACCTTTTTGTTTCTCGCTGGTGTTGAAGTCTAGTTTCCCTCTCTGCAACAGACTCTTGTCTTTTCTCTCTTCGCTTTGCAAGTCTATTTTCTCTCTCTGCAACAGACTCTTGTTGTCTTTTCTCTCTTTGCTTTGCAAGTCTATTTTCTTTTTCTTGTTGTTTTGTTCGTTGATTGCTTTTTCGGATTGTAATTGTCTCACTTTGTCTTTTCTGACTGCATTTCTCATGGTTATTTGATGTTGTATTTATCTGTTCATTCACTGTGTTATTCAAAGTATTTGACAATGAAATGTTTCTATGACATTTAACACCCTTCAATTCAAAGGGAGTATCTTGTCCATGACAGTTACAACTGTGATGAAAAAAACTCACAAGGTTTTGAATTCCTTCAACAGAAACTAAAACACTAACCCATTGCCGCTGGCATTCCATGCATATCTCGTGAATGAGAATCAAAAACTTTAAATACATCTGGGAAAGGCATTAAAACTGCAACAGTGTTTGCTTGAATAGTAAGTAAACATGCTTTATAATTACCAGCATCAAATACTTCATGAAAAGCATGTTCAAGTGTGACATATGGTTCGTTGCCTTGATCCATCCATAAAGCTCCAGAAAAAGAGTCGCTGTACTCCAAATTAAAAGTATCATTGTTGATAGACAATATTTCAGGAACATCAGTGAGCAACAAGAAATCTTTTTGAATGTGCTGACTAATTATGGCGTAAAGATTGTTTGCATTAATTAGAAGCATGTTCATAAGTGGTGTATCCCAAATATTAACAGATTTTATTTCATTGTATACAATAGCATAAATTGACATGGCAACACATTGTTTTCCAGCATTTATTCCAAACATGGATATATTTCCTTGATTGAAGTCTGCTGGAACCGTAAAACTATGGTCAACAATATTATAGATGTTAACTGGGCCTGGATTTTCCTCCACATCATTTGCAAGCCTCAATAGCAATGGTACATAAACATGATAAGATACCATTTGTGTATACCACATGCAAACTTCATTATTACTTTCAATCCTGGTAACTATATTTTTCAAGCATGGTAAATAAAATATTTCTAAGTAGAACATTACTAACATATGGTTCCAAAATTTACCTTTCATTTGATTCATGCACTGTCGTGCTTGCACAAAGTTGTTATGCGAACCAATTCTTACTCTGTATATCTCAATTGACACACTCATATTTCGATATTCTCACTGTTTGGAATAAAATAGTTTCGTTACAGTAATTGTCAATAAGTAGTGTACTGTGTATTTTCAGTATTGTCTTTGACAGTTTGTATTTGTAATTCTTTTAAAATTGCACAATGGCAAAGTCTCAATAATCCCAGCACAATGGCAATGGGTTGCTTTTTTTACCTGCACAATGGCAAGGTTCAATTTGAGTGCGTGGCCTTTCACGCAAATAGCGCCTGATAAATAATCAGTGCGAGCACAATGGCTCCGTTTCAATTTGAGTATTTTGAGAGCGTGGCCTTTCACGCTAATAGCGCCCTGATAAATAATCAGTGCGAGCATAATGGCTCCGTTTCAATTTGAGTATTTTGAGAGCGTGGCCTTTCACGCTAATAGCGCCCTGATAAATAATCAGTGCGAGCACAATGGCTCCGTTTCAGTTTGAGTATAAAATTGAGTATTTTGATAGCGTGGCCTTTCACGCTATATAATAACGCCTGATAAATAATCAGTGCGAGCACAAAGGCCCCAAAATCACAACAGATAACAGAATATAAGGTAAATTAAAAACAGCAAAGCTTTACCTACCTTCTAAGGTCTTCTAAAAGCGCTCGATTGTGTAAAATATTCGGCCAAGAATCGACGAAAATGTGCATGAAGTTTGGTTTCACATCACATGATCAGTTGTTCTTAATTATGCTATATATATGTTCGTAAATGTTCGTCGGAAAAGCTCGGTATTTGTCGCATTTTACGAATCTGCCACGTGACCGGTACGCTCACCGCTCACCGAACACGACACGAAATTTAGAGCTATATGAAAGTTGCATGCCATATATGGCATGCAACAAAAACAGGGCATGTAGTAAAACATGGACTGGACTCATTAGTAAAACATGGACTGGACCCGATTAGTAAAACATGGACTCTATTAGTAAAACATGGACTCGATTAGTAAAACATGGACTCTATTAGTAAAACATGGACTCTATTAGTAAAATATGGACTCTATTAGTAAAACATGGACTCGCTTAGTAAAACATGGACTCGATTAGTAAAACATGGACTCGATTAGTAAAACATGGACTCGATTAGTAAAACATGGACTCGATTAGTAAAACATGGGCTCGATTAGTAAAACATGGACTCGATTAGTAAAACATGGACTCGATATTTATTTTTGACCCTATCGTATTGCTATCACATATACAAATCATATATTAAACCTATTAGAACTCTGTTTTAATTGTATTTTATAGCTATTATAAATAGGTTTTTTGAAACAAAAAATAGCCTATTTTAAATACATTTTATTTTTCTGAATCGGTGAAGCACAGATTAAAATAGGTTTAAAATAGGATAAAATATATTTAAAATAGCGTGCAAAATAGAAATAAAATAATAAAGTAAAGTGAAACATTGGTAATAAAATAGATTTTAAATATACATAAAATAGGTTAAAAATAGTCGAAAATACATATAAAATAGTGGATCAACTGCAGTATATTAACTAATAAGAGTAATAAAATTACTGCAAAAATAGTAATAAAATAGTTTAAAAATATGAATAAAATACTGATAAAATAGTTGTAATAAAATAGTAGAATTTAAAATAGTGAGAAAATAGCGAACAAAATAGTAAAAAAATAGTTCGAAATTCTTATAAAATAGTATAAAAATAGTAATAAAATAGTCAGAAAGTAGTAATAAAATAGTTATAAAATAGCAATAAAAGAATAGTAAAATAGTCATAAAATAGCAATAAAATAGTCAGAATGTAGCAATAAAATAGTTATAAAATAACAATAAAATAGCTATATATAAAAATAGTAGCACTGCAACATAGTTACTTTATAAAGTAATAAAATTGTAGTATATGATAATTAAAACCAGTTAAAAAATAGTAATGAAATAATATCAAATTAGCTGAAAACTAGCAATGCAGTACCATGGTTGACAGGTATATTATCGTTTAAAATTGTATAAAATAATACACATAAAACAGTTTGTATTCTTATTAGCTGTCAATGCTAGGCAGTGGCAGTTTAAGGGCGGCAGGGGTGAATGTGGCAGTTTAAGCAGTGTCAAATCAATGGCATTGTTTACCACAGTCAGAGTTACCAACGTTTGAGTAACTGTAAGGAATCTATTACACGATTGGGTTTCAAATCAATTGCAGGATGAGCAGTCTAGTAGTCTACTAGCAGTTAGACCCATGCCACCAAGCATCTTGCAGATCAAGCAGTTATTGCCAATACATGCGAGCTTAATTGTCAGTATTAACTAAGGTGAAAAATGGGCAAGCAGACCACAGTCGATAAGCAAAATTGTCTAGCTTGAGACCTCACAGTTAAATATTGTGTGCAGAACTTAAAGTAGGGAGTGTTAAGGAAAATTACATCTAAATATGTCAACATGAAACATCATGGGCATGAAACATCATGAGTCTAGCTGGACACTTTCCTTGGCAAATAAAATTGTCCAACATTAGGCAAGATACAAAAACATTTAAATATTAACAAACTGCTGAAAATTGGGCACTTCGCAGTGAAATGGGTAATTCTATTAAAAAAAAAATTACTTCACCCTTGTCGTGACTTGCCGGGGTGTCTCTAAAGATATCTATAAAATGTAGCCCAAAGGTTGTTACATATATTATATTAAGCAGATCATGCAGGTGGTATAGATAAATGTATTCATATATTATAAACTTTGAACAAGCAAACAAAGGACTTTGACTGTTTCCAGTTAGAGCACTTCCATAATCAAGTTGCCACACAACAAATTGATCAAATTGACATTTTTACCTATTAACCGACCCACCCGGCATTAAAAAATTCAAGCATGGCATACAAAGGGAATTGAAATTAACCCTCTATACCCATTCCATTGATATCCTAGTGCATTGTACTATTACCCTCTGATGTTAGACATGGTAAAATCAAACAGCACTGAAAGAATCCAGCTTTGATGCAACCAACACCTGGTGTTAGACTGAGGGTGAAAAAAAAATAAAGTAGGGTATATAAGTGCTATAATGGTAAAGTGCATGAGACATCCTTTTCCGGCTGATAATTTCAGCAAATATACTAGATAGATATAAGTAGAATATAATATAATGACATGTCTTGCAAATATAACGACACATCTTGTGAAACACTGGTGAAGGTGAATCATATTTGATTTAAAACATACAGTTTTTATAAATTGTCGCAGCAAATTCAAATTTTAAGCCGAAACATCAGAGGTCATCAAACACGTTCATTCTCAAAATTCACGAATGAAAAAAGCAAATATTTCCTTTCAAAATTGCTCTATTATTCATAAAACATAACAAGATTCTTACCTGGACATTACTCAATCATCCCTGATGTTTTATCTTCGATTATTCACGGTTAATAAAGCTTCATCGGCTCGAAATATCGAGCGAAATATTGTAACTTCGAAATCACGAACTGATTACAAAAAATATGGCGGGGTGTAAATTCAGTGCTTCCACTTCCAAAAAAATAATTTTCTTCCCAACTGCTCAAAATTTCCTTACTTTTGACAAAAATTCCTTTGATGAAGATGAATTTTACCTAGTTTAAAACTGATATTACAATAATTCATCTTGAATGACGGTGTATTTCTCGGGCGAGAAACACCATGAACGTTGCAATTATAAATTATAAATTAATTATAAAAAACTGCAACAGGAGGCTTGAGGTCATGCCTCAGAAATTCTTCAGATTTTCCATTCCCCAGGAGTAGTTTGGATTTTCGACATTTCCTGACGCGAATTTGCTTGGTAATTGCTATAATCTTAGGATTTATTAGAAATAACGTAATATCCTTATTTGCTTGCTGAAAACAAAATTCCTTGCCGTTTCCTAGTAAATTTTATTTCTTTTTGCAAAGAAATTTCCTTGCAAGTGGAAGCACTGCATGGGATGACCAGTGGGGATGACGCTGTACGCAATAGTTGAAGCCTCCTCCTTTTCTCACCCTCCGCCCCTTACCCCCTTCCATTATTAATGATTGGTCCCTTATCTGTATAAATGTAAAATACGGTTCTATTTTATTTCATTTTGCTAAGTAGGAAAATTCTGTATGTTTAATTTAAAGCTGGGTTACAGTCCATTCTGCGCATGTGCGGGCTTTGTTTACATCTTTTGTTTTGGTTTGGATCCATTTCAATTAGATAATATGAAGTATACGACTATGCACTAAACACAATGAAGAAACCAGGAGTGAAGTAAATTTTTTTTGTAAATTGTCTTCTGAAAGACAAGCAATTAAATATTTTAACAGACCACCAATGAAAGATATATTGTTGATTTAATAATTCGGCATTTTTCTTTCAAAGGTGCCGGGTGCGAGTTCGCAATTGTAAAATAAACTTTGGAAGTGCCAAAGTAATCATAAACCTTTCCTTGGGTTATTTGTTCGTCGGAACACACTGTCAGAGTCATTGTTGCTGTCACGGCAGGAGCACTCGGAGAAATTAAGCTTTTCGCTGGAAGATATGTGGAGACGATATGTTGATGTCGCGGCTTCTGTTTTCCATAGAGAGCCTGCAAAAGTATGGGTAGTTTTTTCTCAAGCGCATGCCACAAATAGGATTTTGATACATGTATGAACAATCGAAGGGTTCAAGAACGTGACAGTGACCATACGGTAAGTTTGTATTATTGCTATTAGTTTGTACTGTTCACTTATACTGTTCGTTATACTGTTCGTTATAAACATGATTCGATTCACACATCACATGTACATGTAATCTTATTATTTTCGCTCATTGTAGTTTATACATTTGATTTGAGAATATGTAATGTTATTCATTGTGACTGTTTACTCTAAACGAAGGATAATGATCATCTAACAATAGATGAATAAACTTTGTTTACATAGTTTAATACTTTGCCTGCCAAGAATATGCACAGACATACAGTGTACATTTGAGTGACGGTACATTTCTGAAAGCTTTAACACATGATTTGTTTTATTACATACTCTGCATAATTATGCATATCTTTGCCGAGTAAAATATCAAATTATGTAAAAAGAGTTTACCCCTCTATACAAGTCTATAGAGGAATTTGTGGTAAAAACATCCGTGTTTCATTGTGCTTGAGTCTTTGCATTTAATTAAATTAATGATAAATATCTTTACATTTCAGAATCTGGTGGAAGCAATGGATTTAATTTTAAATGCCCCAAGAGCGTCAGCCTAAATGCCCTATACAGCGTCAGCCAGCTACATTTGCTGATTTGGTTAAGTAATGAAGTGTCAGGTGCACCGCTTCACTGAGACCCAGAGGAAAACCCAGAAAATGTCCCAGAGTGTTGCGAATGTGGATGCTGTGTTGCAATGCCAACACAATTGGAAAACAAATGCTGTACACAAACAATACAACCTCGCATGACCCTAGCCCCTCTGTTCCCACAGTTTGTACTTGATGGAAACGTTCTGGATCTGGCCATGCATTACAGGGCCGGGAAGACTGTTTAGTGTTAAATAATGTTAGAAACAATGAAAATTTTCACCATGCTGCTTACAAACAATATGTACTCTGGCAACATGAAAAGATAAGGAAGTGGGAACAGGAGAATGATTCCAAGCTGTTGTGTTACGGCAATACGGAAACGATATCCTTCTCCAAATGGGATATACTCTGCTAGATTGTAAATATTTGTTGCACATGTTGTTATTATGTTATTGATCATTGAGGAAAACATTATTTCACTAAACCATTTTACTGCAATTATCTCCCCGTGACAGGGAGGATCATTTTAAATATTTTGAAAGAACTTGGGTAATTCCCGCCTGCATGCATGTTAATAAGACCCATTCACACAAGCGATTTTAAACTGTGATTTTCTCCTTTTGGGATACAGTATGTGATTTAGCAAAATTACAGGAAATATTACTTTGCATGGCTTAGCTCGTATATTCGTTGTGATATTCACTCAAACACATGCACCAAAAGAAGAAAGTTGCAGTTCAAAACTGCTTGTGTGAACTAGCCTTTATAGCCCCATTGCTTTAAACTTATTTTAAGCTTTCTCTGTCTACTAAACACAGCAAATTCTGCTAACAAATGAGAGCCTTTATCATGTTAATTGGTTAAATCTTTATGAACAGTAATATTTCATTTTATAAAAGACAAGTTATCAAATGCATTGGATGTTCCAGCACAACATTTGGTACTGACGTTGATATTTTTATTCTTTAAAATTACTCCTTGCTCCTTACTTCAGCCTGACCCACTAGTTGGGCCAGGAGTTTGTATAATCAAAATTTTCCTTTTCCAAGGTGGACTGCCTTTCAGGGATTATGAGCTCACCTACCCAGCAGTTTTAAGTGCCAGACACTTGTCTACAGCAGTCATTTGAATCTTAAGATTAATAGGTTTCAACAAGTTCTTTGACTGAAGGAGGAGGGACATGGGCTATGTTAGAGGCACATTGCCTTCGGCCATCACTTCCAATACCAATCCCCATACCTAAAGAAGACTTATAATTAGTTTTATTCCTGTTTAAATGCACATTAGTGCCTGCTGAGCAATGTGTTTTAAAAGCACTTACTCAAGCCAAATTTTGATTTTATTACTGCATGTTCATTCAAATTAAAATTTGGCTTCCAAAAAAGCATTTAAGTGCTCTAATTAATACTCTGAACATATCAATCAGCAGGTGCTACTGTGCTACTGAACATGGCTACAGAATGATCAAAAGATTTGTTTGAAAATGGATTTCACAATAAAAACCAAAAGTCATATTTTTTCTCACCAGGATTCAGGAAAGCATAAAATGGTATACATACCTTCATTGTAAGTTGTATAATGTATTCGTACTGCTTAGGAGTAAGAATCTTCACATGATTCCATCACTGTTCCCCTTGCTGAACATATACTGAAGATATCCTTGCTAAACATATACTGAACATATACTTGCTGAACAAATGGCTCATGGCTGCATTGTTTCATATGTCTGCTGATCCGTCTGGGTTTCCACAGCGCTATAAGTGCACAATAAACTTTTGAAATGACGAAATATAACAATATTAACATAATTGAAATATCCTGGGATATCTGTTATGTACTTACCACAATAAACAATTAAAATTGTCTTGATGTTTCGTATATACAAGCTCGCTCAACAGAGTTTCGCGAACCGCCGAACCCTCGTCACTTGACACTTTTGATTCCAGCTTCAGTTTTGAAATGATTCCACTGATCAATACTACAATTTCGATGCATACCTTTTCGCGAAATATTCTTTTCGATTTCCTGTTTGGTTCTGGCGACCAGCAAATATTATGCATTAGAAGGATTTGCCTTTGAAGTTTGAAACTCTCAAGTAGATGGTCGCGAGTCGGCCATTGTCAACCGTGCTGTAGCGTGTTGAAATTGATATTTGATATGCATTTCCATTTGTAACAAGAGCTTACTTATCCAATGACTGGAGGGAATTCATATTGGATTGCCAATCCAGCACCACCACAAAATACTTTCACGTTTAGTTTCACCGAGCAAGATAACAACTGACAAGCGGCTTCATACATATTAGTTTCTATTTGATTTTGAAACAATTGCACAACGGAATAACTAATATTCGTAAAAACACACTTTAGAAACATCTTTTTAGATATAAAGTTTCTTTTTTGACCGTATTTCTTGCTTTGATGTGAATATATAAGCGAGTTAAAAACAATTAGAATTTTGGCACTCCTGTGCGTCAGCCATCTTTTCTGAAATGCTAACAGTTTATAGTATTACGTAATATTTTTCTATGACAATGTTTACAAAATGTGTACACATTTGAGACATGCGCAGAATGGACTGTAACCCAGCTTTAAATAGACTATTTTATACATATCTGCAAATTGTAATCCTGAATTCCTGTAAATGTAAAATAGGATTAAAATAGTGTATTTTATTCTATTTTGCAAATTAGGGAAAGTAAATAGGTTTAAAATAGTATATTTTATCCCTATTTGAAAAATGTGGCATTTTTAAAAGGTGAAATAGGTTTAAAATAGTCTATTTTATTCTGCTTTACGTATTCTGAAAAATAAATAGCTTTAAAACACTATATTTTATATCTATTTTAATTTATGTAATTTTCTGCACGTGCAAAATATGTTTAAAATAGTCTATTTTATTGTAATTTTACTAACTATGAAGGAAAGATAGGATTGAAATAGTATATTTTATTCCTGTTTGAAATTTGTGCATTTAACTTGCAATGTAAAATAGGATTTAAACAGCCTATTTTATTTTATGAGTTTAAAAATAGTATATTTTATATCTATTTTAATTTCTAACTGCTTTTTAGTGAAGTAAAATAGAATTTAAATAGGCTATTTTAAACCTATTTTTTCCCTGAAGCTCTGGAAAATAGTATTAAAATATGCGATTTTATTTCTATTATCTATAAAAATAGGAATAAAATAAAATAAAACATTAATAAAATATGGCTCTTTCTTTTGGTGAAATATTATGATAGAATTAAAATAGGGTTGCTTCTGAATAAAATAGCATAAAAATAGGGGCGATAGTAATAAAATAGTTTTAAAATAGCAATATAATATAGTTATTTTCGCAAGGGTGTGTACACGATATTCTTCAAGTTATAAATATATACTCGATAAAAAGATTCTCCGACAATCGGCATGTTTCCTGCAATACTAATTTACGAATTTTGGATTGATAGTGTCAGACATTATGACCACCGGCAGCCGTTTGCCAATAGTTAAATATGAAGCATTTACATATTTGTTTGCGTGCGAACAACGGCCGATAAATAGATCTGGGGTCGGTTGTATAAATTAAACAAATCTATGAAATATTGAGTACAAGCAAACTAAACTTTTCTTTTCTGTCTAAACATAATAATAATGCATAAAACTACTCATTTAGTTGATAAAATTAAGTTCAAGTACTTACAATATATCGGTATATTGAGAAGGAATGTTTTTAATTTTTTGCCTATACACCCTTTAAGCCAAACGCCTTTGATACAACCGGCCTCTATTCAATTTCGTGCATGTTAGGTTTGTAAGGTGGGGGGGGGGGGGATGGGGTCATCAGAGAAACGTACATAATTAGGAAGTTCCTCGTGGAATAAATCGATACGCGACACTTTCAAAAATATCATGCCCCTCACAGACTCAAGAAATACGGCAGCTTAAAATATAACACAATGAAAAAATGTTTAAATGTTTCAGGAAAAAATTGGTCTGAATCATTCAATGGAATAGCACATCATGCCTACCAAGAGTCCATGTTTTACTAAGGGGCCGACCATTTAACTTTTGAGGGGGGGGGGGGATTTTGAAAAAAAATTCCTGCAAGGCTATTCTGAACAACAAAAAAATACCTGCACTAACAAACTGGGAAAAAAATATCCTGCCCCAGTATTTGGTGCAGGGATCGATTTGACCAGTCCGAGAAGATCAGCTGGTTTGATTTTCAGGGACTAGTGTAAGGTTAATTTCTTGTTGGAAAACTCCTCAAAATGCTGGAAATAGCTTATCTGAGCTTCAAAAAATCCAAAATTTTCAGGGGGGCATGCCACCAGACCCCTCTAGAGGCTCGCGCCTTAGGTGGTCGACTCAGTTGTCTGAGAGTCCTAGTTAAGCATGGCCTGAGCTGCTCCCCTATGACGTATACTTATTAGTTAAACCATGTATATATATATATATATATATATATATATATATATATATATATATATATATATATATATATATATATATATATATATATATATATATATATATAGCTTCTTTGGGTACTTATAATGTAAAATAATGAAAAAAATTTCTCGAACTCAAATTTTGTGAACCAGGGGGGGGGGGGTCTTTTCCAACAAACTAAAAATGGCTCGCGCACAAAATTTAAAAGCTGTAATAATATTTTGAGTTGATAGATTGAAAATTTGTCGGGTTTTTAATTACTGTACAAAATTTCAGACAATTTGGTTTAGTTTAAGCCCTTTAACTATTCATTTTGTTCTAAAAAGTCAGCCTTTCGCATGCTTAATTAATGCGTTTACCTAATTTGCATATTGCTGACATATGCAAATTAGGCAAATGCACAATTAAGCATGCTAATAGCTGATTTTTCGGGAAAATTGTAACTTTGCGTGAATAGTTAAGGGGCTTAAACCAAACCAAATTGTCTGAAATTTTGTACAGTAATTAAAATCCCGACAAATTTTCCATCTGTTAACTCAAAATATGATTGCAGCTTTTAAATTTTGTGCGCGAGCTATTTTTAGTTTGTTGGAAAAGACACACCCCCCCCCCCTGGTTCACAAAATTTGAGTTCGAAAATTTTTTTTCATTATTTTACATTATAAGTGCCCAAAGAAGCTATATATATAAAAAAACGGATACAAATAGGTGTTTTGCGAAATTGAGAGCAATTTCAAATCTGTTCAGTTTTTTTTATACACCCTGTATATGCTGTAGGTAGCTGCAGTGATACAGACAGGGTTGTAGCGAGGAGGGGGGTATTGGGGTGTGGTTAACCCCCCAACCTTTTTAGAATCAACATATTCAGAAAATCGGGTTGGCCATTCGGAAAATTATGGCAATAATAATAGAACAAAATTTTAGTTGTTAAACAGAGAAAATATTATAAAATTGTATTGTCACTATAAACGCTTTTTTCTGACTATCAGCATTGTCAAAACTTCCCCAAAGTCCAGCAAATGGCATTTCAAAGACATTTCTATGAAATGGCATTTCGAAATTTAAAAATTTCCTTGGTCCTCCGGCCCTCGCTTTCTGCCGCCAATAAACAAAAGCTCCCTACCGCACTGCTTCTGTAATATGTCTGTGCGTAAAATATGCGTATTTTTGTTTGCAAATTGCGTCTTCATTTTCCGAATAGCAATCATCTTCGTGGCTTAGTTTGCCATGATATATTCGGAAATTATTTTCGTCATTCGAAATTTTTTTGCCTACACCCCCCCCCCCCCCCCAC